ACGGAAGGACCTGGCATGGCGTCCGCTGGGCGGGAGGCGCGGGGGGCACAGACCCGCTCCAGATATATTCCCGTCCATCAACCCCGGTTGACGTTGACGGGCAGAATAGCGTGCAAGTGCCGGGTATTTTAGACCAGCAGGTATGAATTGCACACACTTTCGCTTCAACTTGAGATATATACAAGATAATATGCGAAAACGTACCCAATCTGTGTACGATATACGAAAAAAATCATAGATGTAGAGAACTAGAAGTGATGTACTTTCAAAATTGCGGTTACATTAACAATACAACTCGATCGTGATACTCAAAAAGTATTGCTATTAAAACCAGAATAATAAAGGCAATTTTATCTACTTGCAGGCAGCTGCAGCGTTATGAAACATGACACTTCTATTTCTGTCCACAGATGATTGATCAATGATTGACAGTTGACAGTCGATTACAGATCGACTTGTATGATTTATTTCCAATGACACAACGTTAAATGAAATTCCATCTTAACTCGATAGCAATAAATGTCAATTTGCGTCGTAGATTCTGATGACCGAATTCATTATGCGTTTTGAAATACACTTTGAATCAATACATTCATTTTTTATTCCTCATCTATTAAGTCGTGTTACTGCTGTAGTTTGTAACAACAAAAATTATATCTAGTACGGGTATTTCAACATTCATAGATTATTATGTTTTAAATATAAACTACCAGCTTTTGCTCTCGACTCTTCGTGGAATAAAAAAAAGTAAGTAGCCTATGTGTTCTTCCAGACTATGCTCTACATCTATGCCATATTTCATCGAGATCAGATTAGCTAAACTGCTACAAACTCTAATAAACATCCATCTAAACTTTCGCATTTATAATACTAGTAGAATTATGGTTACTAGCTGTTCTCGTGCGGCTTCATCCGCGTGGAATTATAAAAACTTCATTTTACTGTTTACATTTATCAAATTCTCAACTGCGAATGTCATAATACCAATTACCTTACTATGGCAATCTTGCTTCCTTGATGTTGGCAGCAGCTTATGGTCTCTTTAATCTTAGAAATATATAGTCTAAAGCGAGTTGTAAGTGTAGGGGTTTTTATTTAAAAAAGAGTCATTCCAAAATATTCTGTAATAAGTGACATCTTTCGCCACATTAAGTTTAGATATTGTAGAAATAGCAAAATCGTGGGTTTATTTTACATCGGAGCTATCGTTTGTTAGACGAAGTTCGTCATTACAAGTGTCAACTAGCACGTCATAGAGCAATCGTCGCTGCAGAGCTGCCGGCTGCCGCGAGTGATTGGCAGCGTGATGCGCACCCGATGAGAGCAATACGATATGAACACACTTGTCACTCAGAGACTACACTAACTGATTGAGAGCTCTTTTAGTTCGCAAAAGGGTCCAATCGTGTTCGGAACTCCGCAACTAGTCGTTTTGATTTGGCTTTGAAAACGGTATTTCTTTGTTATTACATAATCTCCACTATCATTAATTGAGTAACTCCGCAGAATAAAAGTACATTTTATAAATCAATTGAAAACAAAAAAGTAAAAATATGTTTCTTTTTTCGTTCTTTATTTTACGTATATAAAAGTTTTCCCTGTAATTGACTTTTAACCTTTCATCGAAATGCAACCAGCAGTTTAAATTATACACACTCTAATCAGATAGTACTAAAATAGTACACATATAAATTAATCCAATAGCCTATTGTAATGTAGCACACGTCATAAGCGCACCTTTTTAAAACAATATTCATAATGGTTTCATTTACAGCACGTTTAAATTGATTAGCTGCCTACCCCAGTCCAGCGCGGCGTGCGGCGACCTTACGTGTGCTGAGGGGGTGATGAGGGCGGCGGGGGCGTCGCGGAAACCCCTGAAATATGAGTCGGCCAGTCGCCGGCTACAGTGATTGATGTCCACTGACTGACGTGCACGGAACGGGGTGTTTCACTGCGGACCAAGACATAGGAGATAGCGATTAAGTCAAGGTCATCGGAATATAATATTAGATTTTCCATAAAATCTTACCTTGTGTAAATCTTTAAACTATTTTTTCACAGATTGATACACAAATTAATTTCCAATCAATAATTTTGTCCTTATCATGAGTTCTATATCCTTTATCCCACTCTTTTTGATCGTTATTTGTCATTCTAAAAACGTATGCGTCATTTCAGTTATTATTTTCGTTTTTATTTCACAGTTCAGTTTAAGCAATCGATCCATGCTCGACTTAGGTCATTATACTGAAATCGCTTCCGCTTATAACGAGCACCATTGTCAATAGTTAGAGTACGTCATAAGCGAGGTAAACACAGCGCTATTACCGAGCACCCGGCGTCGCCTGGACTTTTAACACGATACTTGAGGGGGCTGTGTTTGGACTACCTAATGAAATATCGGATACAAAAATCCATTGTGTACTTACTAGTTCAGTGGCTGGACTTATAAAGGGGACAATTATCTTATCTTTTGAACCTGATATGTTAAATAGAAATATATCCATATTACGATTTAGTTTTTTGAAAGGTTCACAATTTATTGAAACATTAAGTACAAAGATAGTAAAGTTTATTGAAGAATTGGTCACTTTTTTTGTAGATTTAAAGCAACCGCAAACTTTTGACTAAAATATCGCACAACTGCTTAGTGGCGCTTTGATTCCTATGAGCATGAATAGAGGTGCGCACACTACTCGATTCTTAGTTGTGCAGCTAAACAGTTGAATTGGCTGCGAAACAATCGACAATCGCGCAAAAGTTTAGCTAAAAAATATATGATTTTATTAACCAATGGCTTTATATTCTTTTTTTTAAAACTACACTTCAAGATAAACAGACATGTCTCTTGACCGTCAATCTATTGTGCGTTATCAGTCTTCCTACTGTTTGAGTCTTAGTCTACGTGAACTCTCGTCCTCTGTGACAACGCCGCCACATATGACAACACTTGAAGCATTAATTGCACGCAAGTTAATCGATTGGCTCCCAC